AATTAACCATAACGATGTTTGGTAAATACAGTTTTTTTCTATCAGGTATAATTGGGAAACTATAAAAGTTAGAAGCTGAAAATTCCAAAATAGTGCTATTTTCATCAAAATTGATTATAAATCGAAAACTAAAAAGGATGGAAGGAAGCTTTATGAATAAAAATTAATCTAAATTAACCCGAAAGATGTATGGTATATACAGTTTTCTCCTATCACGTATAATTGAGAAGCTATAAGACTTAGAAGTTGAAAATTCCAAAATACTCCAAAACAGTGCTGTTTCCATCAAAATTGATTATAAATCGAAAACTAAAAACGATCGAAGGAAGTTTTATGAATAAACAATATTCTAAATCAATCCGAAAGATGTTTGGTATATACAGTTTTCTCCTATCAGGTATAATTGGGAAGCTATCAGACTTAGAAGCTGAAAATTCCAAAATAGTGCTATTTTCATCAAAATTGATTATAAATCGAAAACTAAAAACGATGGAAGGAAGCTTTATGAATAAAAAATAATCTAAATTAACTCGAAAGATGTTTGGTATATACAGTTTTTTCCTATCACGTATAATTGGGAAGCTATAAGACTTAGAAGCTGAAAATTCCAAAATACTCCAAAATAGTGCTGTTTCCATCAAAATTGATTATAAATCGAAAACTAAAAACGATGGAAGGAAGCTTTATGAATAAAAGATAATCTAAATTAACCCAAAAGATGTTTGATAAATACAGTTATCTCCTATCAGGTATAATTGGGAAGCTATAAGACTTAGTAGCTGAAAATTCCAAAATATTCCAGTATAGTGCTGTTTTCATCAAAACTGATTATAAATCAAAAACTAAAAACGATAGAAAGAAGCTTTATGAATAAAAAATATTCTAAATTAACCCGAAAGATGTTTGATATATACAGTTTTTTCCTATCAGGTATAATTGGGAAGCTATCAGACTTAGAAGCTGAAAATTCCAAAATAGTGCTCTTTTCATCAAAATTGATTATAAATCGAAAACTAAAAACGATGGAAGGAAGCTTTATGATTAATAAATAATCTAAATTAACCCGAAAGATGTTTGGTATATACAGTTTTCTCCTATCACGTATAATTGAGAAGCTATAAGACTTAGAATTTGAAAATTACAAAATACTTCAAAATAGTGCTGTTTCCATCAAAATTGACTATAAATCGAAAACTAAAAACGATGGAAGGAAGCTTTATTAATAAAAAATATTCTAAATCAACCCGAAAGATATTTGGTATATACAGTTTTCTCCTATCAGGTATAATTGAGAAGCTATAAGACTTAGAAGCTGAAAATTCCAAAATACTCCAAAATAGTACTGTTTTCATCAAAATTAATTATAAATCGAAAACTAAAAACGATGGAAGGAAGCTTTATGAATAAAAGATAATCTAAATTAACCTTAAAGAGCTTTGGTAAATACAGTTCTTTCCTATCAGGTATAATTGGGAAGCTATAAAATTTAGAAGCTGAAAATTCCAAAATACTCCAAAATAGTGCTGTTTTCAACAAAATTGATTATAAATCGAAAACTAAAAACGATGGAAGGAAGCTTTATGAATAAAACATATTCTAAATTAACCCGAAAGATGTTTGGTATATATAGTTTTCTCCTATCACGTATAATTGGGAAGCTATAAGAATTAGAAGCTGAAAATTCCAAAATACTCCAAAATACTGCTGTTTTCATCAAAACTGATGATAAATCGAAAACTAAAAACGATGGAAGGAAGCTTTATGAAGAAAAAATATTCCAAATTAACCCGAAAGATGTTTGTTATATACAGATTTTTCCTATCAGGCATAATTGGGAAGCTATAAGACTTAGAAGCTGAAAATTCCAAAATAGTGCTGTTTTTATCAAATTTGATAATAAATCGAAAACTAAAAACGATGGAAGGAAGCTTTATGAATAAAAAATATTCCAAATTAACCCGAAAGATGTTTGGTATACACAGTTTTCTCCTACCAGGTATAATTGGGAAGCTATAAGACTTAGAAGCTGAAAATTCCAAAATACTCCAAAATAGGGCTGTTTTCATCAAAATTAATTATAAATCGAAAACTAAAAACGATGGAAGGAAGCTTTATGAATAAAATATAATCTAAATGAACCCAGAATATGTTTGGTAAATACAATTTGCTTCCATCAGGTATTATTAGGTACTTATAAGACACAGAAGCCAATAATCTCTAAAATTGATATTTTCGATATTAATATTGACTCTGACACAATAACTAAAAGCAAAGGAAAGAAACTTTATTCATCTAATATATTCCAAATCACCTTAAAATTAGTTAGTAGCAACGATATTAACACATCGCTTATAGTTTTCAACTTATAAAGCTGAAATTTCCAAAATTCTCAACTACAGTGCAGATTTGATTAAAACTGATTATAAACTGTAAAGTAGAAACGATGGAAAGACGCTTTATGAATAAAAGATAATCTAAATTAACCCTAAAGAAGGTTGGGAAATACAGTTTTCTCGTATCAGGTATAATTGGGAAGTTATAAGACGTAGAAGCTGAAAATTCCAAAGTATTCAAAAGTAGTGTTTTCATCAGAGCTGATTTTGATTCAAAAACTAAAAACAATGGAAGGAAACTTTATGAACAAGAGATAATCTAAATTAACCCTAAAGAAGATTGGGAAATTCAGTTTTCTCCTATCAGGTATAATTGGGAACTTATAAGACTTAGAAACTGAAAATACTAAAATTTTCAAAAATAGTGCTCTTTTCATCAAAATTGATTATAAATCGAAAACTAAAAACGTTGAAAGGAAGCTTTATGAACAAAAGATAATCTAAATTAAACCTAAAGAAGATTGGGAAATTCAGTTTTCTCCTATCTGTTATAATTGAGAACTTATAACACTTTAGAAACTCCAAAAATCTTCAAAATTGATGTTTTTGATATTAATATTGATTCTGACACAATAACAAGAAGCATTTGAAAGCAGCTTTGTTCATCAAATATACTCCAAATCAACGTAAAAACAGTTAGTAGCTACGACATTAACTCATCGCTTCTAGCTTCCTACTTATAAAGCTGGAAATTTTAAAATACTCCAAAATAGTGCTGTTTTCATCAAAATTGATTATAGATCGAAAACTAAAAACTGTGGTAGGAAGGTTTATGAATAAAAAATTATCTAAATATCCCCAAAGGTGTTTGGTAAATACAGTTTGCTCCTATCAGATATTATTAGGTACTTATAAGACACAGAACCCAATAATCTCCAAAATTGATGTTTTCGATATTAATATTGATTCTGACACAGTAACAAAAAGCAAAGGAAAGAAGCTTTATTCATCTAATATATTCTAAATCACCTTAAAAGTAATTAGTAGTAACCATATTAACATATCGCTTATAGTTTTCAACTTATAAAGCTGAATATTCCAAAATTATCAAAAATAGTGTTGCTTTCTATAAGATTGATTATAAAACGAAAACTAAAAGCGATGAAAGAAAGGTTTATGAATAAAAAATGCTCTTAATTAACCCAAAAATTGTTTAGTAAATACAGTTTTCTCTTAAAGACTTTAATATTAAAATTAATTGTGATACAATAATTGCATTCAAAGCTTAAAGGATTAAAAATATTTAAAAGATACTTTTTAACCGTTATAGAAAACAGTACCCACAACAATGTTAATAGTTTTAATGGATATCAATAAGTGCCACAATCAATATATGAAAAGAAATGCAGTTAATAATGGAACGGGTTGATGATACAATTTAATTAAAACGAAGAAACAATCACGTCTATGTAATCTCTTTTAACCACGTTCGTCTTCCTGGTTTACCGATTTTTCAAGTACACAACTGTGGGAAAAGCTTTCAAAGCGAGACCCAAACGACAAAAAATAAATAAAATAAAAGTTGAAATGATAAAGAAAAGTCAAAGACACGCGGTAATATAATGTGTCGAATTAATAATTGCGGGCATGAAATTTGAAATTGCGCTTCTTGCGGTGGCCAGTGGAACTACGACCATCCATCAACTTGCCAGGACACGTTCCTTCTTCGGCAACAACCAGCAACCACCAAGAAAGCATCTGGGTCGCGAACCAGAGAGGATTAATGATGTCCTGAACAGTAGCTTTTCTTGACGCAACACAAAACCGGAGGATGTCTATCTACTATGAGGTTCATTTCTTTTCGATTTGATCCTTTTGTGTTGGTTACTATTTTTACTACCTGTGTTCAGGATCTCGTTTCGATAATTTTTTTATTTTCCATTTGTTTCCTCACACCTGGTTTTCTAATTTACATTTATGACAGCGCCTGGTTGTTCGTTATATCAAAAAAAACAACCTGGCGTTGAAAATTCGTAATTATATCGATTTCTATAAGAGATACTTTGTGATATCGTTTTGGTATTTCTAAGGAATTGTGATGAAATTTTCGGTACTAATTTATGTGGTTAGTGAACCACAAGTATAATAATCTCTCAATTTACATTTAGAAGTAAGTAGGGCAGTAAAAAAAATTGTTAACTACAGTTTAATGTTCTTCAGCATATTTTCAGTATAAAGGGGCGTACGTGAATTTTAATTGCACGTCATAACCATAAAATTATACCAATTCAACTGTCAGCTTCTCAGACACTTCTTCAACTGAAGCTGAAATTAATTCAGCACTTTTTCTAACAAATGTTTTAAAAACCAAAGTTTCAAAGTTGACCTTTTTTGTTGAAAAAAAAACGTCAAAATGCAACAGACCTCGATTAAAACAGAAAACCTTACATAATCATTGGTTTTTATATTAAAAACCTTGAAGCTTTACGTTTCGAACAGCGCGCGCGTTTTCTATCCTTTATTTAATTTTTTTTTAATTTAAAAAATGATTAATGATCCCCATTCTAAATACGCGTGCGCATCTATCTATAGATACAGCGCGAGAGAATCGAGGAGCGAGTAGTACTCGATTAAGGAACCGGTAGTTTCTTGATGAAATTAGCTTTTTCTTCTTTTTCAAACTACAATAAACATTTAATTTCCTACCTGTGTCTGCGTCAGTCCAAGACTCGCTGCCAGTTCCGCTCTTTCTGGTAATGCTAGATATTGCGTCCGCTGAAACCGCCTATTCAATTGCTGGAGCTGAAGACTCGAGTATATCGTTCTTGGTTTTCTCATCTTCTTTCCTTTACTACCTGATGTTTGTCGTTCCAATGCTAAACATTTATCTGTAAAGAGATGATCCATTCAAAAAAGGTTAAAGGTTATCGAAAAAATAGTTCTTCACTTTAGATGTCATAACAGAATTAAGTATTCTTGGAGATTAAGAAATGGGCTTTATTCCAAATTAAAGCTTAGAGTTGGTAAAATTTTAGTAAATCATGTCTGGTTCATTTATGAAGGTTTTTATACCAAATTAAAGTTTCCTCTTTCAAATGATGTGTAACACTTAATAACTTTGTATAGAAATTTTCCCAGAAAAAATTTTTGAAGGAAAGTTATAATCTTCATCATTATCTAAACTAATAAAAATAATTGTTAACTTTTAAAACACCATAACTCGGTTAATCATGGAAATTAAGAAATTATTTTTACTTCAAATTAATGTTTAAAGTTTCTGTTTTAAAATGATGTATTGTTATCGAAAATTTTATTTGGAAAATTTTCCGGAAATGTTGCTTTTTTGATTTCAACCTAATCTATGATGAAAATTTGTTTAACTTTATTAAATCACACCTGCTTGATTTGTGAAGGTTAAGATTTGAGTTTTATACCAAATCATAGCTTAAAGTTTCTTCTTTCCAATGATATATAACACTCAATAACTTTATATAGAAAATTTTCCAGAAAACTTGTTGAAGGAATGCTGCAATTTGAATTGCAATCTAAACTAATTAAAAACTGTTAACTTTAAAACACCATAACGTAGTTATGCATGGAAATTAACAAATTATTTTTGCATGAGATTAAAGCTTAGAGTTTCTGCTTTAAAATGATGTATTGCTATCGTATATTTTATTTGGAAAATTTTCCAAAATTTTTGATTTTACGAAAATGTTCCTTTTTTGATTTCATCCTAATTTATCAAGAAAATTGGTTAAACTTTAATAAATCAAATCTTGTTGATTTATGATCGTTAAGAAATGATTTTTATATCAAATTAAAGCTTAAAGTTTCCTCTTTCAAATGATGTATGACACTCAATAACTTTATATAAAAAATGTTCCAGAAAATTTGTTGAGAAAATGCTGCAATTTTAATGACAATTTAAAGTAATTGAAAACTGTTAACTTTAAAACCCCATAACTTAGTTATTCATTGGAATTATAAAATTATTTTTGCAGGGGATTAAAGTTTAGAGTTTCTGCTTTAAAATGATGTATTGTTATCGTATATTTTATTTGGAAAATTTCCCAAAATTTTTGATTTTACGAAAATGTTCTTTTTTTGATTTCAACTTAATTTATCAAGAAAATTGGTTAAACTTTAATAAATCAAATCTCGTTGATTTGTGATCGTTAAGAAATGATTTTTACATCAAATTAAAGCTTAAAGTTTCCTCTTTCATATGATATATAGCACTCAATAATTTTATATAGAAAATTTTCCAAAAAACTTGTTGAAGGAATGTTGCAATTTTAACCACAATTTAAACTAATTAAAAACTTAACTTTAAAACACCATAAAGTAGTTATTCATGGAAATTATACAATTATTTTTGCATGAGATTAAAGTTTAGAGTTTCTGCTTTAAAATGATGTATTGCTATCGTATATTTTATTTGGAAAATTTCCCAAAATTTTTGATTTTACGAAAATGTTCTTTTTTTGATTTCAACTTAATTTATCAAGAAAATTGGTTAAACTTTAATAAATCAAATCTCGTTGATTTGTGATCGTTAAGAAATGATTTTTACATCAAATTAAAGCTTAAAGTTTCCTCTTTCATATGATATATAGCACTCAATAATTTTATATAGAAAATTTTCCAAAAAACTTGTTGAAGGAATGTTGCAATTTTAACCACAATTTAAACTAATTAAAAACTTAACTTTAAAACACCATAAAGTAGTTATTCATGGAAATTATACAATTATTTTTGCATGAGATTAAAGTTTAGAGTTTCTGCTTTAAAATGATGTATTGCTATCGTATATTTTATTTGGAAAATTTTCCAAAATTTTTGATTTTACAAAAATGTTCCTTTTTTGATTTCAACCTAATTTATCAAGAAAATTTGTTAAACTTTAATAAATCAAATCTTGTTTATTTATGATCGTTAAGAAATGACTTTTACACCAAATTAAAGCTTACAGTTTCCTCTTTCATATGATATATGACACTCAATAACTTTATATAGAAAATTTTCCAAAAAACTTGTTGAAGGAATGTTGCAATTTTAACCACAATTTAAACTAATTAAAAACTTAACTTTAAAACACCATAAAGTAGTTATTCATGGAAATTATACAATTATTTTTGCATGAGATTAAAGTTTAGAGTTTCTGCTTTAAAATGATGTATTGCTATCGAATATTTTATTTGGAAAATATCCCAAAATATTTTTTTATGAAAATGTGGTTTTTTTGATTTCAACCTCATCTATCCAGAAAATTGGTTAAATTTTAGTAAATCATACCTCGTTGATTTATGATCGTCAAGAAATGAGTTTTATACCAAATTAAAGCTTACAGTTTCCCCTTTCAAATGATATGTGACATTCAATAACTTTATATAGAAAATTTTCCAGAAAATTGTTAAAGGAATGCTGCAATTTTAATCACAATTTAAACTAATTAAAAACTTAACTTTAAAACACCATAAAGTAGTTATTCATGGAAGTTATACAATTATTTTTGCATTAGATTAAATTTTGGAGTTTCTGCTTTAAAATGATGTATTGCTATCGTATATTTTATTTGGAAAATTTTCCAAAATTTTTGATTTTACGAAAATGTTCCTTTTCTGATTTCAACCTAATTTATCAAGAAAATTGGTTAAATTTTAGTAAACCAAATCTCGTTGATTTATGATCGTTAAGAAATGATTTTTATACCAAATGAAAGCTTAAAGTTTCCTCTTTCAAATGATATATGACGATCAATAACTTTATATAAAAAATTTTCCGGAAAATTTTGTTGAAGAAATGCTACAAATTAGTCAGAATTTAAACTAGCAACTACTTTAAGATATCTTAACAAGGTTATTCTTGAAGGTTATTAAATGAGTTGTATACAAAATTAAAGGTTATAGTTTTCTCTTTTCAATGATGTATACCATTTTTAGCCGATTTTATCACAGAGATTTTTTTTTAAAGAAATGTATCTATTTTGACCATAATTTGTAACACGCTATATATGTATACCTAAAAAAAGTTTTTAAATAAACACTTGAATGTATAATTAATATGATTTTGCTTGGATACGAAGGTAATTAGTTGACGAAGCAGTAATTGCGAGTTGATTTATTCTATGGCAAACTCGTGTTAACTTCAGTACGAATTTCTCACGTACTAGAACTCTAAGAAAATTTATGACACCGTTTAATGTTAACTAAAAGATCTTCGCGTTATTTCTTTATTCAATTTGAAATTAATGCTAATCGTAAAGCCCTATTTAAGCTCTATCTTTTAATTGAACCAATTTATCGATAATCCAACATATTTAATTAAAACCAATGAGAATTTTATAAATATTAAGATCGAATAAAAACTTGACCAAGAATTTCATAGCAATTTAAAGATTTCTTTTTGTATAAAAACATCTTTTTTATCTGTTTGTAAACTGAGAAAAATCCGACCTAATCGATATCTAAAAATGGTATAAAGCGTCGTTATCATGTCTCGTTCGAATAGAAAAACCGTGAAAAAAATCCGTCTGAATTTGTCAGTAAAGCGCCGGCACGCGAAAGCTCTACGCCGCACGGGAGCTTTTTCCATAAACCATTTCCAGCGCAACAGCAAGGCAAAGAAGTTTTTACGTTCAATCGGATTTGGTTGAAACATTTGCGCGTTTTCTGCGGCGGCGGCGGGCGCCACTTATAAAAAAAATTTACTTTACAACTCTTCGTCGTCAAACTAGATTCAACAAGCAACCTCTCAAATTGGAAACCTGTCATTCGTCACGCGTTCGAATTTTTTTGCACCTTCGCGAAAGATTCAAGTCGACGAAAAGAAGCCGATTCCGCAAGTTAAAGAAAAATAAATTCAAAAAGAGACGAAGAACAAGAAAAAAGGGAGTTAAGTAAAAAATAAAAATCAAAAAAGAAAGAAATGAGAAGAAAAAGGAACAAGAAGAAACACAAACCGGTGATTCAACGAGTCCGTTTCGATATATATTCTTTTATTTTCGTTAGAAGAAGTAGTTCGAAAAGACGTCGACAGGTTCAATGAGAGAGTACATTTTCCCATTGGACGAAGGCGACCTCTACATAAAGACGTAAGTTCCCACTGCGTTCAGGAATCTTACCAATGTTCGCGTCGCCATACGGGAATTCCACCATTTGATATGTTTATTATAAATCGAGAAAGCTTATTGCTTCGATTTTACGGTATCACAATTTATTGTAATCGATAATTAACCTTACTTCTAATAGCGTCAAATGTGCAAATTATAATTTATCATTATTGCCGTTTATAAGAACTTTTACGAGCGATTTTAAATAATACCAAGTGAATTCTAATTAATTAACTCATAAGAAATTATTTTCAAAAAGTTTCTTATAGCTTTTATATTACAGATAAAACTCCGATTTGATTAACATTAAACTATCTTTGTAATCGAATAATGATGTTTTTTGAAAGTGCTTTAAAGATACCTGAAAATAAAAAAGCTTGTTGGTGTGTGTCAAAATAGTTCCAATTGATTGAAAATATCTTTTTATTACTTAACAAGGATGAATAATCAAAAAAAAACTTAAAGGAAGTGTTTTCCAGAAAATTCCAATGAGATAGAATGTGGAAAAAACTGATTGGTGTGAGATAAATTGTTTATAAATAACTCCAGGATGCTTAATAATGCTGATTCTATAAAGAAAATTAATTTTGGTGTTTTGCGAAAGTATTTCTACAATACCATGAAATAGAAAAAGCTTGTTGGTGTGTGTTAAAATAGTTTAAATCGATTGAAAACATGTTTCTATTACTTAACAAGAACGAATAAGCTAAAAAAACCTGTACGGAAGCATTTTCCAGAACATTCTAAAGATTTAGAGCGTTGGAAATACTGAAT